GCCAGTCGTCCAGGCATAGCAGGCGTGGCACTTTCTCGACACCATAGGGGGTGCGCAGGGGGTGGTCCCTGAGCGCGGCCGCTATCCGTGCCAGTCGTCCAGGCATAGCAGGCGTGGCACTTTCTCGACACCACAGGGGGTGCGCAGGGGGTGGTCCCTGAGCGCGGCCGCGTATCCGTGCCAGTCGTCCAGGCATAGCAGGCGTGGCACTTTCTCGACACCATAGGGGGTGCGCAGGGGGTGGTCCCTGAGCGCGGCCGCTATCCGTGCCAGTCGTCCAGGCATTGCAGGCGTGGTACTTTCTCGACACCACAGGGGGTGCGCAAGGGGTGGTCCCTGAGCGCGGCCGCTATCCGTGCCAGTCGTCCAGGCATAGCAGGCGTGGCACTTTCTCGACACAATAGGGGGTGCGCAGGGGGTGGTCCCTGAGCGCGGCCGCTATCCGTGCCAGTCGTCCAGGCATAGCAGGCGTGGCACTTTCTCGACACCATAGGGGGTGCGCAGGGGGTGGTCCCTGAGCGCGGCCGCTATCCGTGCCAGCGTCCAGGCATAGCAGGCGTGGACTTTCTCGACACCACAGGGTGCGCAAGGGGTGGTCCCTGAGCGCGGCCGCTACCCGTGCCAGTCGTCCAGGCATAGCAGGCGTGGCACTTTCCTCGACACATAGGGGGTGCGCAGGGGTGGTCCCTGACGCGGCCGCATGCCTGTGCCAGTCGTCCAGCATCGCAGGCGTGGCCCTTTCTAGACACCATAGGGGTGCGCAGGTTCCCTGAAGCGCGGGCGGCTATCCGTGCCAGCCGTCCAGGCACAGAGCAAGGCGTGGCACATTCTCGACACCACAGGGGGTGCCCATGGTGTGGTCCCTGAGCGCGGGCCGCTACCCGTGCCAGTCGACCCCAGGCATCAGCAGCAAGCGTGGCACTTTCGCGACACCACAGGGGGTGCGCAGGGGGTGGTCTCTCAGCTCGGCCGCTATCCACGACACTGGCGCAAAGCCTAGCAGGCGTTGCACTTTCTCGACACCAAAGGGGGTGGGCAGGGGGTGGTCTCTCAGCTCGGCCGCTATCCACGACACTGGCGCAAAGCCTAGCAGGCGTGGCACTTTCTCGACACCACAGGGGGTGCGCAGAGGGGTGGTCTTTCAGTTCGGCCGCTATCCACGACACTGGCGCAAAGCCTAGCAGGCGTTGGCACTTTCTGGACACCATAGGGGTGCGCAGGGGTGTCCCTGAGCGCGGAAGCCGGCTATCCCGCCCAGTCGTTCCAGGCACAGCAACCGGTGGCACTTTCACGCCAAACCGCAGGGTGCGCAGGGGGGTGGTCCCCGACGCGGCCCGCTACCGTGCCATTCGTCCAGGCAATAGCAGCGGGCATCTTTTCCGACACACTAGTGGTGCGCAAGGGGTGGTCCTTGAGCGCGGCCGCTACCCGTGCCAGTCGTCCAGGCATCGCAGGCGTGGCACTTTCTAGACACCATAAGGGGTGCGCAAGGGGTGGTCCCTGAGCACGGCCGCTATCCGTGCCAGTCGTCCAGGCATAGCAGCGTTGGCCCTGTTCTCGACACACATGGGTTCGCAGGGGGTGGTCCCGGAGCGCGCCGCTATGCGAGCCAGTCGTCAGTGCATAGGCAGGCGTGTGCACTTTTGTTTCACGTACACCCACAGGGGGTGCGCAGGGGGATGGTCCCTGAGCGGCCGCTATCCGTGCCAGTCGTCCAGGCATAGCAGGCGCGGCACCTTCTCGACACCATAGGGGGTGCGCAGGGGTGGTCCCTGAGCGCGGCCGCTATCCGTGCCAGTCGTCCAGGCATAGCAGGCGTGGCACTTTCTCGACACACTAGGGGGTGCGCAGGGGGTGGCCCCCGAGCGCGGCCCCTATCCGTGCCAGTCGTCCAGGCATAGCAGGCGTGGCACTTTCTCGACACCATAGGGGGTGCGCAGGGGGTGGTCCCTGAGCGCGGCCGCTATCCGTGCCAGTCGTCCAGGCATAGCAGGCGTGGCACTTCCTCGACACCATAAGGGGTGCGCAGGGGGTGGTCCCTGAGCGTTGCCGCTATCCGTGCCAGTCGCCCAAGCAAGCAGGCGTGGCACTTTCTCGAAACCATAGAGGGTGCACAAGGGGTGGTCCTGAGCGCGGCCGCTATCCGTGCCAGTCGTCCAGGCATAGCAGGCGTGGCACTTTCTCGACACCATAGGGGGTGCGCAGGGGGTGGTCCCTGAGCGCGGCCGCTATCCGTGCCAGTCGTCCAGGCATAGCAGGCGTGGCACTTTCTCGACACCATAGGGGGTGCGCAGGGGGTGGTCCCTGAGCGCGGCCGCTATCCGTGCCAGTCGTCCAGGCATAGCAGGCGTGGCACTTTCTCGACACACTAGGGGGTGCGCAGTGGGTGGCCCCCGAGCACGGCCCCTATCCGTGCCAGTCGTCCAGGCATAGCAGGCGTGGCACTTTCTCGACACCATAGGGGGTGCACAGGGGGTGGTCCCTGAGCGCGGCCCCTATCCGTGCCAGTCGTCCAGGCATAGCAGGCGTGGCACTTTCTCGGCACCATCGGGGGTGCACAGGGGGTGGTCCCTGAGCGCGGCCGCTATCCGTGCCAGTCGTCCAGGCATAGCAGGCGTGGCACTGTCTAGACACCATAGGGGGTGCGCAGGGGGTGGTCCCTGAGCGCGGCCGCTGGCTGGCTCGAATCTGTCCTTGATGGAGGATAGAAAGCTAGGAAGAGGGAGGAGGTTCAAGCAATACGGCGTTGGATGACACAGAGGGGAACATTCGCGACGAGGGCTGAGAACGCAGAATTGCGCATATATTATCAACTTAAGCAAGCACATAAGATTTAAATTGAGTATGTGGGGTTCCTCGGTAGCGTAATTGGGTGTTCTTGTGCACCCTGGGGAGGTTACCCTTGGATGTTCAGTGTGTTTTGGCCGGCGGCGGGTCTCGTGCTCTTGAGCGATGTTTTCCTTTCCTAAGTTCGACTCTAGCCGACGAGTTTCCCCAGCGGGACAGTACACGCCCGTCGTGGAAGGTAGGTATCTCTAGACCCCAGATCCCATTCTATTTCAAGCGCCTTCCTACTCCAAGAGTCGATGCGTTTTTTGGGGCGGGTTCGAACCCAAACTGCTTCATCCGACTGTCTACTTCATGCTCCCACGTACTCCAGATGTCGTAATAAAAGGGATGGGGTCTGGACCCTCCAAGACAGGCCATCTCAGACCTCCCCCGTGGGAGAACCCCCCAAAACGTCGTCCCCGGACACCCCAGGCCCTCCAGCCCTCCAGGAGGAGGAGGAGGAGGAGGAGGAGGAGTAGGAGGAGGAGGAGGAGGAGGAGGAGGAGGAGGAGGAGGAGGAGGAGGAGGAGGAGGAGGAGGAGGAGGAGGAGACCCCCCCCGAAATGAGACCCCCCTCCCTTTCTTACGAACTCTGGAGCACTCCTTGCGCCTGGCGGGTATGGGTTCCGCGCCTGGGCGCCCGCTCCCCTAAGCCAGGCCTCGCGGATGGGGCCGTCGGTGTGATGGCATCGGAGGATCGCGCCGCATCGCTGCTGCATCGGCGATGCGTCGCGAGCAGTACAGTGAGCGGCTTGAATAAGGAACGCTTACTTTTCAAAAGGGGCTCGGTCGTTCCTTGGGCTTGCATGCGTTATTTATCGCTCCCTATGCGTTGTGTATTCTTTGCTCATCGTTCCTCATGCGTTATTCCTCGGAAGAGAGGGGCTTCGTTTCTATTTATCGTTCCGATTCTCCGCCCCGACATCGCCGAAGCATCGCCGATGCATCGGCGAGGCGGCGCGATCCTCCCACCCCACGTGCGGTCGGTCTGCGCCGTGCCGACTCCGTCGGCGATTTCTCGCCGAGGGCGCTCCTTCGGCGGGACGCCGCCAGAGGGCCCAGAGATTCGGCCCATCTTCAGGAGGGGAAAAAACACACACACAATTAATCGTCGATTCCAAGGAAAATATGGGAAAATATGGGAAGTGGGGGGGAAGACACGAACTCAAAAAAATATATGGGAAAATATGGGGAATCATTTTATTTGTGTGTATTTATTTGTGTGTCCTGGGGCCCCTTCACATCTGGAAGGACCTGGCGGTCGACGAGCCGCTGATCGTGGGCGGGCCGAGCGATCCACGCGGTGTCAGAAGCCAGCGCCAGGGTCGACACGACACGCGATCCCCAACCGAGGGTAATGTCATGTGGGAGGCTGACCCGATGAGGGGGGACATCGACCCCCACACGCCGATTCCGTGCCACTGCTGGCGGCGCGCAGAGGGGGATAAGGGGGAGGGGGAAGGCTTCGGAAGAAGGGGGCTGCTTCTTAGAAGGCGCCGGCCTCACATCTACAGACAAGGCCCGCGTCTTCTAAGAAGCAGGGGTGCTCCCAAGAAGCCTTCCCCCCCCCCCCTCTACCTCCCTCTGCGCGTGGCTGGCAATATTCCCGCCGGGGATACTGGCGGCGGCTCTTCAGCCGTGGCGACGAGAAGCCGCCCAGAGGCCCCGGGAGAGGACAGACCAGCGCCAGGACCACAGCCGAGACACTGGCACGCAGACCGCCTCTTGGAGCTCGGGAGGGGCCCCGGCTTTCAGGCCACTCCCGCGGTCGAGGCCGAGGAGGGACTCCGTGGCCGCGGCTCGCCGTGGCCAAGCAGCCCCCTTCCTCACGCGGCGCTCCTCGTCGAAGCAGGATGGCTGCAGCTCGGCTGGCCCTCCTCCGAGGGCTTCGTCCGTCGGTGCTCCAGAGATGGGGTCCCGAGGGGTCAGGTCCTCAGGGCGAGGCGCCGCAAGCAGCGCACAGCCGCCCTTGGATCCCTGCCTATCCTGGAGCTCCCATCCCTCAGGACCCCCCTCTTCGAAGCACCGAGTCTGCGAGGCCCCCGCCCCAAGGCTCCGCCGCCATACCGGGCGATGCGGCAGAGGAGGAGATGCCCGTGACCATGAAGTACGGCAAGGACCTCACGCTCATGGCGCGGAGGGCCCAGCTGGACCCCCTGGTGGGCCGCGAGGACGGCCCCGTCGGGAGGGGAACCTAGCCCCCCCCGCGTCGCGAAACAAAAGCCTGGCGGCCAGCTTTTCGCCCCGATTCCTGTTTCCATCTTTCCGACGGTGGTCCCGACTCTGGTCAAGTGTATTCGATTGTGGCAGTACCTGTGGTTCTGCTCCTCCGACTGCGGCTCCGTCACCCACTCCCATCTTTCCGACCCGGCCGCCATTCCCCGACCCCGGCTTCTGAGCGGCGCCCCGGCGCCCTCCCGCCGCACCCTTGTGGGTGCCTTTTTTTTTTTTTTTTTTTTTTTTTTTTTTTTTTTTTTTTTTTTTTTTTTTTTTTTTTTTTTTTTTTTTTTTTTTTTTTTTTTTTTATATATATATATAAAACAAATTTACCAGCCTGGAACATATCCCTATCCCTATGCTGGGCATCTCCCCATCACGATGCCAATCTAAGGGATTCCCTTGTTTTTTGGAGGGCGAACCCCTAAGATTGTCATCGCCTTTTGGCGTGGCAACCTTAGGGATAGGGATACGCTCGAGGCTGGTCAGCACCCTCGTGGGTGCCTCTTGCCTTGTCGGCTCCGATCGGGGCTCCAGAGGCGGGGGGCCAGTGCAAGCGGGGCTCCGTCGGGGATCCGACAGCTTCCTGCAGGGCACGGGGCGCACGGATCGGGGTCAGGAGGGGGAAAAACACACAGACACAATTGATCGTCGATTCCCCAGAAAGTATGGGAAAATATGGGAAGTGGGGGGAAGACAAAAACCAAGAAAAGATAGGAACATATGGGGATTCCTTTTACTTGTGTGTGTATTTATTTGTGTGTCCTGGGGCCCCTTCACAGGGTCAGGGCGCAGGATCCTGCAGGATCCTGCAAGGCCTCACCGACCCGGGTCTGCATGGACCCGGGCCAGCAGATCCCCGAGCCTCTGCAGGGGGACTTCACCCGGCCCAGGGACCGTCGGAAAAAACGACGCGGGGTGAACAACGGGTCTTTGGGGATGAGGTCCAGACTTCTAAGGGTCCACGCCGCGAACAAGTCATGACGTCGGGGGGCTGGGACACGAGCATCAATGACGCGCTGTCGTTTGGATCCCGTCAGCGTGTTGATTACTCCTTCGCTTCTGTCTGAAGCCCTGACAGACCTTCAGCAGCAAGACGCTCATGGGCTCCCCACGGCGACGTGTCATTGATACTGGTCATGCTCCTCTAACAAGGCCCCCGAGAAAGGCGGGGTGGGGGGCCCGAGGTCTTCGGGCGTCTTCGCAGATTTTCGACGGCACTCTGGCCTCGGGGTGCGCTCCAGCAGCTGCACCTCTCCGAGAGCGCTCCGGGGGTGCCCGGTGATCGTCCCGAAGGGCCCGAGGTCCGGACGAGAGGCCCGAGCAGGTGCTAAGTCGGGCGTGTCCCTCGAGAGGGGGGAATATTCAAAGAGAGGAAAAAAACAGCCTGGGGACTATTTTTTGAACATTTCTTGACCATTCGGGATATTTTTAAAAGTATTTGTTGTATTGTTCGTTGAACATCCCCTCGTAGGGGGACGCGCCCGACTTAAAGCAGGTGCCCGAAGGCCGGGCGACGAGAGGCTGTCGGGTCGGAGGGGGGCAGACGGGGAGCCTGGGGAGGGGCGGGCGCGAAGTCTGCCGCGTGCAGCTGGTCCCCCCGCAGGGGCTCGCGGGGTCGTCTCAGTTCCGGCCCCCCGCCTGCGCCCCAGCATCCGGCTGCTGCCTCGGATGGGCCGATTGTCCACCGCTCCGCTACCGCAGGTAGGAGAGGGAGGAGGAGGAGGAGGAGGAGGAGGAGGAGGAGGAGGAGGAGGAGGAGGAGGAGAGGGGAGGAGGAGAGGAGGAGGAGAGGAGGAGGGAGGGGAGGGGGAGGACCAGTGTAATCCCAAGAGTCATCAACGATGTTGGAGTAAACCCGCTCCAAGCTCCCTCTTCATAGGCCTCTACAGCGGTTCGTTTCCATTGATGGAACCGCCTCGTTGGAAGGCACCCGTTCGAAGACCCTGAAGCATGCCAAAGCATTGCTCGGGATTCCGACGCCACGGATCAACCTGACTGTTGCGTTTTGACGATCCTGAATCGTACCAGAAAGCCATTCTGAGGATTCCAACACAGAGAATCAACGTAACTGTTGCGCCCAGCCCGCGTTATTCTGAACCTTTGCAAAACACAATTCCGGATACATGTGTGACGGGAATCCGTGAAACTCTTGCAAATGTTTAGAACGAGTTAGCGCGGCGCTAAGGCAAGAGCCACAGTTTGAAAAGGAACCGCCCTCAATCAGTGAAACTCCTGCAAATGCTTAAGACGAGTGGGCGCGGCGCTAAGGCGAGAGCCACATTTTGAAAACCACTCGCCATCAATCCGTGAAACTCTTCAAAGTTGAACCAATGTGCGCCGCGCTAAGGCGAGAGCCACATTTTGAAAACCACCCGCCCTCCATCTGTGAAGCTTTTGCGTTAACAAAAAACGGATGGGCACGGCGCTAAGGCGAGAGCCGCATTTGGAAGACCACCCGCCCTCGATCCGTGAAGCTCTCGCAAACTTGAAAAATGATTGTGCGCGCGCTAAGGCGAGATCCACATTTGGAAACCACTTGCCCTCCATCTGTGAAACTGTTGCCAATGTTTAAGCTTCAGAGTCCCCGCCCTAAAAACTGGCCTCGGGGTGCGACAGGGAGAAGTTATTCATAAGGAAAAAGAATGGAGTAGTAGGAGGAGGAGGAGGAGGAGGAGGAAGAGGAGGAGGAGGAGGAGGACCATCCTCCCTTCCCCCCCGTCCTACTTATGGTAGCGGTGGTGGAAAATTGAGCCATAATTCCTCCTCTCTCCTCTCTTCCTCTGCCGTGCGTGGGCACGGCTTGACCCGTCCGACAACGGGGTGTAAAGCACATCGAGGAAGGAGCCCGCGCTGCGAAAAGAGAAACAAGAAGCCTGTGCCCCAGCATGAGCCTGTTTTTGTAAGGCTTGGGCGATCACGGCCGTGATCGGCCCTGTTCCCCCCCCCGGTCACGTCACGCACGTGCGAAGACATTCTGCGGATCCTCCGAGGATTTCCTGAAATCTCCGGCGGCCCCACGCCACACTTTGATCCTCCGAGGATTTCCTGAAATCTCCGGCGGCCCCACGCCACACTTTGATGGCGTGGGGAGCGATTTCCCCCCCCCCCCCCCCTTCCCCCGATCACGCCAGTTGTCGCGAGTAATAAAACCGGGCTCCTGCTGAAAGGGAGGCTGCGTGGATGATGCTCACATCGTGCCTGCGCACCTGCGTTTTCGCAACTCTGTGCCTCCTCCGTGCGGGCTGGCCCGAGAGGAGCAGCTCGTCCACACCATCCGCATCCTGGGGCGCCGGACCAAGAACAATCCTGTTCTCGTCGGGGAGGCGCCATTCCCCCCCGCCCCCACACACTGGGGGCTGCAGCTTGTCTCTTGTGTCTCGAGCTCCACTGCTATCCTATTCCTCTCTGTTTGCGATGCCTGCCATCCTTCACTGACCCTACCCACTACCCGTTTGTTTGTCTGCCCCAGTTTGTTGTGTATCACTGCCGCCACTTTCTTTTCGGGGGTATCCTTCAGTGTCGCCTGGCCCGCCCATGTGCCTCGCTCCCCCTTCGTCCCTCCCTCGTTCCTTCCCTCCCTCTTCCCCTCTGGGTCCTCCCTCCGCTGGACAACTGCGAGGAGGAGGAGGCGGCGAGGATGGGGATGGAGAAGAGGAACAAATGAAGGAGGGTGAGGAGGTGGAGGAGTAGAGGGATGCGAGGCATGATGATGACGGTGTTGATGATGCTGACTATGATGTTGATGATGTTGATGATGTTGATGAAGATGCTGTTTATGATGGTGCTTATGGTGATGTTGATGATGTTGATGATGATGGTGATGGTACAAATGATGTTGATAGTCATATTGATTGTTATGATGACGGTGCTGCTGCTGATTCAGCTGCTCTGCTGATGATGCTGCTGCTGCTGCTGCAACTAATGACGATGCTAATGGCGACGACGACGATGATGAGGAGGAGGAGGAGAGGGAGGAGGAGGAGGAGGAGGAGGAGGAGGACGAGGACGAGGACGAGGACGAGGAGGAGGAGGTGGAGAGAGTGTGGGAGTTGGAGGAGGAAGAGGAGAGGGGAGGAGAAGGAGGCCAGAGGTGATCGTGATCTTGATGATGCTGTTGCTAATGATGATGATGATGATGCTGGTGCTTCTGATGCTGATGATGATGATGTTCATCATGATGTTCATGATGATGACGATGTTTGTGATGCTGCTGCTGATGATGCTGATGATGCTGATCGTGCTGCTGCTGCTGCTGCCGATGATGACGATGCTGCTGCTGATGATAATGCCAATGCTGGTGCTGCTGCTGCTGCTGATGCTGACTCTGCTGATGTTGATGCTGATGATGTTGATGATGCTGATGATGATGCTGATGATGATGATGATGGTGATGATGACGCAGAGGAGGGCAAGATGGAGGAAGGGGAGGATGATGATAACGATGTGATGGTGGTGATGATGACGATGACGATGACGATGACGATGATGATGATGATGATGATGATGATGATGATGATGATGATGATGATGATGATGCTGATGCTGATGATGATGATGATGATGATTATGATGATGATGATGATGATGATGATGATGATGAGTCTGCTGCTGCTGATGATGATGCTGATAATGATTATGATGATTATGATGATGGGGACGCGGAGGAGGCAGAGAAGGAGGAAGATGAGGAGGATGATGATGTTGATGTCGATCATGGTAATGATGTTTATCCTGCTGATGGTAATGCTGATGCTGCTGCTGATGATGATGCTGATGACGCCGATTCTGATAACCGTGATGATGCTGATGATGGTGATGCTGGTGCTGATTGTGATCATGATGATGCTGATGTTGCTGATGACGATTCTGCTGATTATGTTGATGATGCTGCTGATGCTGCTGATGATGCTGATGATGATGCTGATGATGATGATGCTGATGATGATGTTGA